TAATTATTATGCATAAGCTTAATGAAAACCTATTGGACACTGACTTTACATATGCGATGACTTCAGAAAAAAAAGATGAACAATACTTGTTAATTCAATGCAGTTGAGATAAAGAAATCTGCTGTGTATTAAAGAGTGTCAAGCCAAATGGGTAGATAAATCTATGAGGATGGCTGGAAAAGTATTATCAAAAGTGGAAATTTCCTATGCTAACTGAAGCACTGTTCATGACCATTACAGCCCTGCTGGGCAAGGGAAAGCCGAATTCGCTTTAATAAAACGTGCACAGACGTGAACAATGGCACAGCCACAGATGCAGTCCCAGCCGCAGTCGCAGCCGCAGCTAAAGCCACAATAAATATGTACATCAAGAGCGCAGAGAATCCGGAATTTATATTGAGTTTTGATCCGCCCCATTCTGCGGAATCGATTCGCCACAACACTTGCCACTTATCGCCATACACAATCTTAATTAAAAGCCGCCCTGCTGGAAAAATAAAAACAAATGTTTGCTTTAAAGTCGATTGTAATCGGACTGCGACTGACTGGCCGGCCCGATACCCCTATGAGTGGGGCATGCGGCATGCCACATGTGACAATCGTGGGCAGTTAAATTGCGCACGAAATCGATTAAAGTCGCGATGAAAACACGAAATCAGCAATTAAGCGGCTGAAGGGCAATGCATATACACGTACATACATGTATATGTATGTGTATTTTTTTCGAATTTTTATTTATCTCTCGTTGCGTCGACAGCAGCGATATTGGGTCCAGGCACGCACGTGACTCGAACCCCGAGCCTTCGCCTGGGTTTCAGGTGGGCGTTACCAAGGCCTGCTTGAAATCTGTGTCGCCCGCCTCGAACAGTGCTGTCAAAAAGTTAACGCTCCTGCACAAGGCAATGCGTATCATTTTTATTTGCATCAGCCGCCAGGCAATTGGTGATTATCTACTCCCACACACAAACACCCACACACAAACACCCACACACACACACACAGCTGCAAGTTAGAGTGTTTTTCTTTTGCGGCTGGCGCCGCACATAAACTTTATTGTCGCCACATTTGTGTTGCATACTTCGCGGCGCCAAGAACTGAGGCACAAGTCAATGAACTTCAAAATGTGTCGAGCCACGCCTCTTGGCAAAATGTAGCGGACAACGCCCACACAACCCTCCATTCTGTCCTGTCTAAAGTAATTTTTGATGTTGTTCCATCTTCGGCTTTTCCTTTTTCTTTTCGCCAAATATTTGTGCAAGTCAGCATCTGCGGACGAGGCTGACGGTGGGTGGCTTTGCACCACCCTCTTGGCATGTTTTTGTGTTATCATTTGAGCTGCATACTTGCAGGAGGCCAGCAGAAGGGGTGAGCGGACCCAAAGTTCGCAGCTGACAAATGTTTTGGAAACATATCTCAAGTGCTACTTATTTTGGTCGCTTGTCAAAGAGCTCGAGCTGAGCCATGCCCAGCTTCTCACATCGTTTAAAGGGTGCTTCGCATAGATTTGATGCGGATTTTATTTTAAGTTCCGTTCTAGAACGCCTTTCAAGGGTTGGCCTCCAACGCCTCGAACACAATTTCATTTTATGCTTATTGATCAATAAATATTTTAGCAGAGAATTCATAAAACCGAAATGCTGTATGCAGTTGAATTTCTTGAGAAGTCGATGTCTAAGAATTTATTAAAATTACCTCGTTTCAATATTGAACCAAACTAGCTATTATTTTCCTGCAGGGGTAAAATTAGTCATGACAACTCCAAATGGATTTTTGGAAATTGGGGAAATATAAGTCTGTAAAGATAAACATCAATCATAAGCTATAATTGATGTATCTCATAATCTCATAATAGTGTAAGTCATGTCGATTAATTTATTAGATGAATAGCAATTATTGATGACCCTAAATCGATTTACTAAATTGGGAAATATAAATCACTACAAATTTGTAATGATATAATTTTTGAAATATAAATGAAGTCCCTTATAATCTCATAATAGTGTGAGTAATGTCGAATAAAGTTTCAGATCAGTAGGCATTCATACTTACTTTAAGACCTCCCAGGTATTTCCTATTCAGCTACTCCAGTTCTTTCGCACCGATCGGGTGTATACGCGCCGTGTATACGTCGCCAGAGTAACTCGACGATGAGGCAGACAAATGCAATGATTAGACCGAATACGAGCATAATTAGCGGCACATTGAAGTAGTCCAATGTCAGGGGCTTCGCCTCGTATGGCTCCGAGGGTATCAGGTTCAAGTAGCCAATGTGTATGGTCTGTTGATTGGTGTCGTCGGCCAGCTTGTCCAGTAGTCCACTGCCGAAGCTATTGAGCACCGCCTCGCTGAGCTTGTGCTTCAGCAGCCAGTGGCGACGCATTGGGAAACCCGGCAACGAGTGCTGCAGATCTATGGGCAGGGGACGCATGCGGGGCTTGGTCATATACTGTTGCTGGAAAGCGAAGAGTACCAGGCGATCGCTGTGCGCCAAGTAGGCGTATTTGGCGTCAAAGACTCGCCGATGCGCCTGTATGAAGGGGTACGACACAAGACGGGTTATATTCCACAGTATGTCCGGAAAGTCGTAGATCTCGAACACCTTCTTGTCGTAGTCCCCGATCAGGATGCTAATATTCCGATCAACCATGTCCTCGAAGCTGCGTATTTCGGGCTCGTAGACACCCGTCGAGAGTATGGTTGCTAGATACGCTAGGTAATAGTTGGCGATCATGAAGCCCACTAGGAAAATGCTAGAATACAAGATGTAGTACTGCCAGCCCGTAATATGACGCAGCTCGAAGCCCACACAGAGCAGACTGGAAATGATATCTAGTAGAAATCGGCCACATTCCCATCGCCCCCGCTGCAGCCGGCAGACGCAGCTGACGAAGCTACAGGTGATGGCTATATAGAGGAGCATGGACAGCCATGTCTTCAGCTGCATGGGGGCTATAATATAGTAGTTCTTGGACTTGGGCTGCGCATTGGGAATCAAGATATTGACGTACAAGTACGTATAGCTGGCGGTAAAGCTAACTTCGTTGGAGTAAGCCAACAGCGCCCCACAGACGTCGGACAGATTGTTGTGTATGTATTTGAGACAGTCGTGGGGGGAGAAGACGCTGTGGTTGGGCGTTAGTACGGGCACAAACTTGGCCCCGCGGTGGGCCAGAAACTCCCGCAGCAGCAGCAGAGCATAGCCAGCGTACATATCATTTTCGGGATAGACCAAGCTGCGTGGCGGATCGTTATAGAGCGCCACGCGCACCTCCAGGCCCCCGAGATTGTCGAACCAGTGCTGGCGACTCCACAAATAATCCTCGATGCTGCAGCGCTGCAGCTGTCTCTGCGGATAAAAGCCGCTGGTATAAAACTGACCCCGGAGCCCTCCTCTGTCTGTGCTGTTGAATAGCAGCACATTCGGGAAGCCCTGCTGCCAGAGGGCTGAAAGCAACTGATGCCAGTTTGCTGCTGTGTCGCAGCCCACGATCAGGAAATCCGATTGCTGCATTTCTGTGGGCAGCTGCTCGAACATGGCTTCGGCTTGGACTGGGCTGGGCTTCGGCAGTATCACCAAAAGGGGCTTGGGCAGATGAAGGTCGTTGATGCTGCTCAGGCTGCTCTGATCGGTTCTCTTCAACAGTACACTAGGGACATGGCTGAGGGCCTCACAGACCCGCTCATAGATATCTAAGGGCTGTGCGGACTCCGTGTAGATAATGTTGGTTTTGCTCTGCAGCCCCCGATTGAGTGCAGCTATGCTTGAGCTTAGATCATAGGTGCTTGAGTCTACGTTAGTGAGAAGACAGAGCAGACATATAAGCTTTGACATTTTTCAAATTGGGGGCGACTACTAGATACGAGCTGTAGCGCTGTGAAGCAAGCTGTGGAAGCAAAAAGCGTTTTAGTTTTGTGGGCCTAAAGCATAATTTAAATAAAGTGCGAGGAAGCAAAAGGATAGGCTAGACTGGCAGAGGATGAGAGTTGAAGGAAAAAGGTAGAAGGTAGAAAAGAATGCGATTGCATACGATAGGGATTCGCTATTTCTGTACATTTTAGCGTGAGGATGCCGTAGCTTAAGGACATAAATTTTGGATCTAGGTGTTGAGCAAAAACAGGAGTCACAGGAAAAATGTGCATCTAGTATGTAGCTTAAATTAGTGCGAGGAAGTGGTGATTTAAGGCGGATTGGGTAGGATGCTCAGGATGCTGAGTCTCATATCCTTAGCAATATATAATATATAAAGCATCGTTAAGGACTTGCAGATCAATTCCGCAATTGCAGTAGCATAAGATTTTTCTCAGTGTAACTAGATTGTTGCTTTATTTGTGGAAGAAGAAGAAACTACAACTACAAACACACATGCGGATGCTAGAAAGTGTTCAGGAACAAGCAACTACTACACTACATCAATCCATCAACGCCAAGTGGTGGTCACTACATCCTCCTCTTCATCCTCATCATAAGCGCTTAGCGCTGGTTGTGCCTGTGCCTGTGCCTGCGCCAGGCCGTCAGCTCGATGACAAAGACGAACAAAGCCAGGCCGTAGCCAATGGCCAGCGACATGGCCGGCATGACGAAATAATCGAGTTTCAGTGATTGCGCCTCGTAGTAGTCGGTGACGAGGAATTTGAAACCCACGTTCGCTGTCATCGTGTCGTGGTCGGCGTCCACTGCCAGCTTCTTCAGGAATCCGCTCTCAAAGGCATAGGCCCAGGCGTCACTCAGCGACTGCCTCAAGAAGTAGCTCTCGCGCATCGGGAAGCCGGAGAACAGAAAGAATATGTTGATGGGTATACGACGCAGGCGCGGATGCCTCAGGTACTTCTGAGCATAGTCGAACAGGTCCATGCGATCGCTGAAGAGTATGTAGGCGTACTCCTGGTCAAAGCCGCTGCGATGCCTCTTCAGCGTCTCGTCGGGAACCACCTGTATGATTGGCCACAGCATATCCGGCAGATGGTATCTCCTCGACAAGTTGCGGTCGTATTCGTCTATCATGATGCTGATGTTGGACTCCAGCAGCTCCGCAAAGCTGTTGATCGGCTTCTCGAATACCTCCGTGGTCAATATGCTCTTCAGGTAGCCCAGGTAGAACGTGGAGTAGATGAAGCCAGCTATGAAGAGCACGGCAAAGAGTATGTACCGCTCGCGCCCATGGAGGTGCTTCAGGGAGAAGCCCGTGAAGAGCAGCGACCTGATGGCGTCCAGCAGAAAGGTGCTGAAGATCCAGCGCCTCCGCTGCTGCCAGTGGATGCAGCTCATGAAGAAAACAATGAAGGCTATGTAGACGAACAGGCAGATCCAGACAGTCGGGTGGAATGGAGCCACGAGATACCGATACGAACTCAACGGCTTGGCATTGGGCACCATGACATTGGCATATGCCATGCGAATGGCCCTTGTCACAACGAAAGCCTTGTCCGATCCCTGAGCCAGTGAGTCGCCGCACAGGTCCACTCGCCTCGCAAGCAGCGCCCTAATGCAGTGTCCGGGCGAATCGTTGGGCGTGTAAACGGGCACAAAGGTCGCATTGTGGACCTCCAGAAAGTGTTGTAGGAAGCGCAGGTAATAGCCGCCATACTTCTGCCTGCCGTGTCTGTCCTCGTAGAGGAGGCAGCGGGGCGGGTTGGAGTACACCGCAATGCGAATCTCAAAGCCCTGCATATTTCTCATGCGGCCCCGGCTTTGTACATATTCCCTCACATCGGTGGGCAGGATCTTGATTTGCGGAAACAAGCGCATTCTGTAGAGCACCGGACCTTGCGATATATGTAGGAATAGCAGGCCATTGTAGCCCAGCTGCCATGCCTGATGGGCAAACTCTAGCCACACATCTGTCTGTGGGCTTTCGTTTAGCACCAGCAAAAAGTCCGCTGTCTGGAACTGTAAGTGGAGCTTCTCGAATAGATCGATTGGAGGCGTCTTAACAAGCAGCACAAAGAGCATTCGTTCACCCAAAAATTGAACTAGCTCCGTAGCATTAAAAGCAGAATCGTTTATGGAACTAACCAGTATCTGCGCGATTGGCTTCAGTTTGGGTAAATAACTTAGTCCTCTCCGCTGGGGATTGTACACAAAATTCGTTTCGATGCCAATCTGTGTGCTCAGCTCATCTATTATAGCAGGTAGTCCCTCTGCAGAGTCTGTAGAGCTGTGTCCTCTAATTGTCAATAACAGAACTAGAAACACACGAACTAAGCCCGCCATCTGCAATAGATATTTGTCTAGGTTTATTCAAAGTGCGTTCTTCAAACTTCATGAAAGTCATGCAAAGAAAAGATACTCCTTATTTTGATTCAAATGAGGTATATTGTCATATATTATATTTCGTCAGTCATAAAATACAAGAAAACCTAGCAAAATCTATGATAGTTGGGAATTTTACAAAAGTGAAAGAGTTATTATTTAATCCTACACCTGACTAGTTCGGAAGCACTTATTTACACTTGTGCGAATCCAAATTGTATTATTTTCAGAAAACTAGAAAATGTTTAGAGCTATATCTATGATTTACCGCAATATCGTATATCCATAAACGTGGTAAACTTTTCAACTGTTCACAACAATACAGCAAACTCTGTTGACAAGTTTCGGACTTCAGTTCCAAGAATTCGAAACGCAACATTTGATAATTCAAATTAAATATGTGCCTCATATTACAAGCAGATGAATCAAAGGGATACAAATAAATATAAAGTTAGGGAACGATTAATACATGATTGAGGGGTGTTCAAAGTTCATTTTATACGATTTAAAAATATTCACACATGAATCTACAAACAAGATGAAAGGTTTATCATTTAAGACTGTGCTTGATCTATTTTGTTATTATTATATTTGAATTACCTAATTTTAAATATTTGAAGTTCAAAATATAATAAAAGGCTTTTCTGAATCAAGCAAGAACTATCAATTGTTGTCAACAGTTCCAAATTTCATGACAGTTATTAATTGTTGAGTACACCTAGCAAGACTTCACTAATTACCAATTACTGTTATTTGACTTGGTCTAGACCTCTAGATTGTCTCAATTATAGTTGTGATTGATGTTGGCTCAGTGATTGTTGCCAATTGCTTTAATTAGCACGTTATGGGTGTTTGCGATATGATATTTATTTGTTGCTCAACTCTCATAAATATTCCATGCCAGCTGATTAGCTGTCTGGTACACCTGGCAATTAACACCCACCCGCCCACGCATCATCACATCCTGTTCCATGTGCCCAGGTGATGTTTCGTATTTATCGATCTCTCTCGTATTTATATTTTGATTTTTAATTTTCATGCTCATGCCAAAGTACAATGCCAACGAAAACAACAACAACAACAACAACAACAATAGTAGGTCCCCCTAGCCACGGTTCTTCCCTTTGTTGACGTTAAGGTCTAAGGCGTTTGAATGGTATCAAAATTCTAGCGCTTCGTGTTGCGTCGCGCCACTTAGACAGAGTTACCAGACTGTTTTTTTTATAGCCCCCAGCCATTTGGCACTGTGGCGCCATTTTCAGCTGAGCGACGGCGATCGCCGCTAAAAATAGATGCCATCAGTGGCAAACGTTGCCTCTCTCTCTCTCTCTCCCTCTCTCTCTCTCTTTGTCTGTCTCTGTCTAACAGACAGCAGTCAGTAAGGCCGCGCCGTGCAGCCAATCAGAGAGCCAAACAACAGCTGGCAGCAGTGGGGCGCTGGGAGGGGCTGTTAATCGCTGTGCGCGCTGCGCGTTAAACAATTAACTGTTGCTGCTGTCGCTGTCTGATTTGCGGCGCCTGATTAACGGTTGTCAGTACTGGCACCGTAATGCTTAACTGCCCTTGTGCCCGGTTCCATCTCCTGCTACTATCGTTGTTGCTGCTGCTGCTGCTGCTGCTGTTGCTGTTATGTTACGCGCATGTTAAATGCCTGCTGACTGCCCGATTATGTGCACTTGAGTAGGGTTAGCGAATCGCCCACTAATAGGCATGCAGAATTTTTATTTTCGTTTTGTTTATACTTCTTTGCTTTTCGCCTTGTGGGAATGCAATTTTCTGCGATGAGTCACTGTACCCGCTATGTGTCAGTGGCACAGTGCAGCGGCAGTCAGTTAGTGGGTCAGTGCACCGCAGATCTTGCCAATGTATTGCTTAAACTGTCAGTAATTGGAGCATTGACATGGGTTAACAGTATGTTAACCGTAGCAATTAGCGCTTATTACTGCAACGGTAAATGCTAAACGGCAGCGTGAACAGTGTGTCAGCGTAATCGCAGCGTTTACTGGACAGACTAAGCACTTAGGTACGTTAACCTACATAAACATATATATTTAATGTTGCAGGATCTAAGAGATGCTTTTGGAAATTTGCTAAGAAATCTGCCCGATTAGATATCAATCAATCTAGCAATAATTCAAGGGATAGACAGAGCGACAGGGCTAAGACGTCTCACCTCTTACGTACAGTACACCGTATAAAAAGTTGATATTTGAATGACTTGAATGTGGGCTCAATCCTATCCGATTGGGTATCAGAGAAGAGTATCTATGCTTTCCTCTGGTTTTTTCTTTTTTTTGTCTTAATTGCATTGATTCCCAACTAGTGCTGTCATTGCCCTCTAGGCCAACATCAACCAACTCAACTTCATTGAACTGTGCATATATCTTTGAAATAACCTAGTGAAATGCATTCACGATAATTTGTTTGCTCTGCCGAGTGACTCACACACGCACAGTAGTCGGATATTGCGGGAGGCGCATAATTAATAAGATAAAGAATCCACTTCGAGCAAGCACACAAACCGCCTCGAATACCTCGGGCTGAAGGTCAAACTAATAATGATTTAGATAATAAAACGAGGCTACCCAAAAACCAAGCCGCAGTCAGTGCAGCCAGACAGCGCCACGAAGCTGGACGTGCTGCAGGAGAGCAGAGTCTGCCTTGCGGCTGCTGATAAACCAAACAAAACGCGGCTAAGATGCATCCCAGATGGGGCAGCGGGTCGGTTGGTCGGGGGGACGGAGATGGGGGCAGTGCCTGGCAAACGATCATAAATACCGAAGGGCAACGCCTATTTTTACAGGCAAGCGTCTGCATTTCCTCGTATAGCCGTGGCCCATGAGCGCAGAAAATATTAAAACGATGCGACGTGACAGATTACAAAGCGTTTGACACCAGCGCCAAAGCCGCCAAGAGCTGCCTCCACCACAGCCACAGCAACAGCTACAGCTACAGCTACAGCAGCCGCCACTTGCCAAACGACGTTGCAGTCACGAGCTGCAGCCAAGAGGAGACCCAGGTGGAAGCTGCTTCATGCTGCAGCACTCGGGGTCGCCCTGGCAGTGGCCGGGCACTGCGTGCGAGTAAATTGCCTGGCGGCTGCCACAGTGTGGAACGAGCTCTCGGAAGCGGACTGCGGCGAGGCAGCGCGCGTCACAAATTAATTCGCTGGAGCTGCAGGTCGGTATGGTTCCCACAGTAGTTGTTGCAGCTCCCACTTGGACTGCTGCTGCTCCTGCGGCTCCTGCTGCTGCTTCTGCATTTCAGACTCAGCTTCTTGTCTACTAGTTCACCTGCGCCTGCGCAGCGGTTCTTCTCGATGCGGAGGCAGCGCGCTCGTGAGTTATGACAGACAGCCTGACTGTGTGCAGGCTGAAGCAGGACTCAGAATCCAGATACCGCCAGCCTCTTACGCCTGGGCATGTAATTTGTATACCCTGCTATCACAAATGTGAATGCGTCGGGTATATTGTCAATACAATTGATGGGGGAGCTATACATATATGAGGAAGAGGGAGAGTAGAGAGTTGATCTTACAACTCTATATATAATTGGAATTAGAATAACTATACGATCTAAAAATGTTCTAGTTTACAAAACAGCGTAAAAAGTAAGGCTTCTGCAGGGTATCAGTTAGAATAAACTTTTTAATTTCGAATATCAATCAAATTTTCGACTTATGGGTAAATTACTGAAAGAACATTATGGAATAATCCATAGCGCATAAAATCGAATGGAGTAATTCATAGCTACAGGGTATTTTAAAAAATATTTAACGTAGCTTTGATTTGGCGAAATAATATGGAAATATTATTAACAAATAATTAATGCTGTTGTTGCAGTTGTTTCTAAGCCTTCGATTTAACAGGGTATTTTATAGTCTCGCATGCGAAATGCGATCAACTCAACTTGCTTCTAATTCAGTCAGTCAGCGCGTAAGGCAGAGCAACAGGGCAAACGTAGATGGGATTTTGCGTATCCGCCGCGTAATTGACTTGGAAGTTATGAACCTTTAAATGTGGCCACTGCAGCAGCACCACCAGCACAGGCGCAGCACCACTGCCTTGGCAGCATCCATGGCATTCCGAGCCACGGCATGTAATTTTAATTTTCGCACTTGATTGCCCTGTAGCTCGACTGTGCACTCATTCATACGACTGCGACTGCAAATGCGGCTCAAGCTATGGCTGTGGCGGGACTGGGTGGGGCAGGCGGTGCGCGGGAGGGCTGGGACCCATTCATATGATTCATATCGGCCCTTAGCGGTCCGAATTTGTCAGTGAGTAAGAGCCAAGCAAAAACCTGCTGAAAATATCAGGCGAACCAACTGAAGGAGCTCGCATATTGAAGCAGCTACTTAGAGATGATTCAGACTCATTCTTATTACCGATAGTGCTTTGAAATTAATGACAATCAACAAAATTATAATGGCCGTGGTATTGATATTAAACGAAGATAAAAACATTTCTACTGCTAATTAAATTATTTAGAGAATA